TCCTGGCATCGCTACTAGGGGCAAGAAACTATTAGGGGGCTCCTGGCCTTAGTACTATAGTAACAAGAAGCTACCCGGGCTGCGGCTTCTTCCGCTGCCCCGGTCCCGAGGCGGCGCACCCGGTTGAGCTATGCCACCTGCCAGTCGGAAGCCGAGGAGCGCAGCTGGACGAAGCGGACGAACGGACGTTCACACCGAGGGAAAAGGGCGTGAAAGTGTTTGGTAGTTGTGGGGATGTGTGTGGGGATTCGTTTTGGGAGATGAGCCTGCAGTGGGAAGACCAAACATTGCAGCAGATCTGAGACCCAGTATTTCAACTGCTTTGGCCCATCAACTTCCCCTAGGGCTCCAAGGCTCCAAGTGCTTCAAGAGACACTTCGATTCAGCGCCGTGAAAGCAGCTCGGTGTCTTCAAGGGGCAGTCCGAGGCACTCATCCATCGGGGCACTCCTCCGCCCCTCGTAAACAGAAACAACTCGATGTATTTGTTTTTCCTTTAGACATCTTTAGACCTTTTTCTGTTTTTCTTTCCTTGGCGCTTTTCCTTTTTGGACTCTTTCTTCTAGACCCACTTTAAAGATCGCTTGTCTGTCTTCTTGACTCGACGAGTGAAGACTCGGCCGCTTCTCCGTCAGGACAAGGCGGAGTTTCTGGATTTCGACGCCTCGCTGGGAGAGGAGCTGACGGAGGAGCCTTCGGAGGCGGAACAGACTGCGATGGCCTCCTCCCTCGTAGCGATGGCCTCCAACCTGGTAGCCTGCCGTGCTTCACAGAGCTTCACGCTTCACTTCACCGGTTTCGATGGAGATGGGTTTCGAAAAAAGAGACGAGTCGGTTCGATGGTGGCAGGTCATCCTTTCGCACGAAGAGAATGGTTTTTTATTCGTTTCAATTCTTTTCCATTGTTTGTCAGAGAAAGCTTCCCCCTGGGTGCCTAGCCCAGTAGATCCCAGTTACCACTATATAAGGAACCAGCTCTTTCCAGGTCTTTGGAACCACAGGTTATACCAGCTAAAGGCCAAAAAGGGGGCACCTGGACGCCCTGGGCACCTTTTTGAATGCTCTTCTTTCATGGCACCTCCATGGCACTCGCTACTAACACCCTCAGCAAAGGTTGACGTGCCAGGATACCTTTTGAATCGGCTCAGTGACACCGTCGACCGTTGGCGCATCGACCCGCAGGCTTCTAGCCCACGTTGGTGGAACTCTGTGATGCAGGTTCGGAAGCGGCGGGTCGACGACGTGGGGTGGTTTGGGCTCTTCGCGGGCTTTCGGCGGTATAAACCAACTATAAACAGCTCTGAGATGAAAGAGAATGGATTTACCTTCCCAAGCCACATAGACACTTCCAAGGCACGACTCTGCCGATGTTTCCATCGCCCGGTTTGGACTGGAGGCGTCGGCCGGTTCCGTGGGAACCCCCGCGGTCTCCCCAGGTGGCCGCCGATCGACGGGCACAAAACACCGCCGCAGTGGCCGTAGGCGCGGTGCGGCTGTGGGACGAGGAGGAAGGGTGGTCCTGCCAGATGGTCCCGAACCGCGCGCGACGTGCGGCCGAAGTGCAACTCGCATTGTCTCGAGACATCACCAAAACTTTTCAAAGAGGAGTAGCTCATCGCTACTAGGCTGGAGGCCATCGCTACTCGGGTGGAGGCCATCGCTATTACCCACTCAGTCCAACACCAAAGTTTAACGATGTCGTTTACATAAAGACAAGTCTTTACTTAACAACAACCTTTCACTCCATCCCTTCCACCAACAGCCCCAGCAAGACGGCAGCCAGCAGCAGCCAGTGGCTGCTGACATGATCATCAAGTGCGCCTGCCTTTTGTCTGCAGGGTTATCTGCAAGCGCGTCTCCGGTTGATTTCATTCAACCGTTTCATATGGGAACGCATGGCTACCAATCTATATGGAGCCTTTTTGGCAATGCTCCGAGCAAGATCCCTCCGATCACTCAGCTGGCAGATTCCTTGGGGTTCAGGTCTTAGATCATGAATTAAGTCAAGGGTACACCAAACTATATGTTTCAGATCCAGAGAATTCAGTTGAGATGCGTTTGCACCATTTCATCTGGTCTTCGTCTATGAAGGTATGCTCAAATCTAGGCGAGTAGCCTTAAGGAAAGTGCATGGGGCGATGTCAAAATAGACTCAATTATATTGCACACTTGAAACTAATCAGCTAAGGGACGACGGCGGTAGCAGTCGATCAACTGATGGTGAAATTTCTTAGCGCCCACTCACAAACACAGCAGCATCAGCATGTAGCTTGTCAGATCTACACGGGCACCTGGCCTACCTGCAGGTGCATTCCAAGTATCGTGGATTTTGGGTTTACCCAACCAGAAGAGGAGATTGTGCCTCCAAGGCTTTCAATATGGACTTAAAGGTAAACATCACAACGGTAGTCACATCAATTTCCATGGTTGTGCCTTTGGCTCATTGCTGTGAGTAGCCGATGTGTTCGAAGGAATTTCATCCCATAAGAATAGAGCGATTCAGCCTCTGATCTAGACCTCTGTTCAGATACCAAGGTCTATAAAGCAAGAGCAGATGTATATTTTGTAGGATTCAAGCGTGCTGCCATGTTGCAGGTACCGCCCTGCCGACTCCATAGACAAAAAGAATCGATTCAGTGCATCCCTCAGATCTGTGCATGAAAGAGCAGCACTGGGCCCTGGGAAAAAGAGGTACACTAACAGATCCAATAAAATAATCTATATATATATATAGTTTTTTCTTTCCACCCCAATGAAAAAATCATTTCAATCCAGCTGGGGTGCATGCAAACAGCGGAGGGCTCCAACATGTCATGTTTGGGCCAAGTCCCCTCATGGGTTTCAACTCTTGATTGAATCCATGCTCCACAGAACCGGCTGGCAGGCACAGCTCTATTTAATGCAATGTTCAGGCAACTAGAAAGCCACGCTAGGATCACTCGAGAGCAATAGCCCTTGCAGTTCATAGAAGCCCCAGAACTTGTAGACCAAACCTAGGATTACAAGAGTGACTTTACATAAAGCGACTAGATCTTAAATATATATCATGATGCACGTCAACAGGCCAAGAAACGGTTGATTCTCTGAACAATTGCTGTCCACATTTAACTTTGTTGAGACGACACCAAATCCTGAAGTCCTTGTACGCAACCGCAAGGCATTGGCGGAGCGTTAAGGCCTCCACATCACCAAAGAAGCCAAGGTCAATGAGCAATAGCCTCGGCCAAGTGCCAAGTGCCCTTAAATATATATATATATATATATGGTCCGGTTTAAAACAAGTATACGGGAATCCAAGCCAATCAAAAACATTAGCACTGGCCCGATCAAGATTCAATGAGCTTCCGTTTGCAGTAGCCAGAATCCCCAAGTTGACATTGTGTAAGCTACAGTGTCGTAGCATCCCATAGGTGAAGTGGGGCAGGAGCAACAATGGGCCTGGGTCCCTTTCGCATCCCACCCAAAAAAGAGCTCAATCTATGTGTAAAACTATTGACTTTTGGGGAAAACATGAACATCTTCCACATCTAAGTCTGGGTGTCTGGGATGACTTGGAGAAACCATGGTGGCAATGAACTGCAACTCTGTTTTTTCTGTCCGTGCCCATCCTGGATCATCAGATAGGTCCCAGTATGTAGTGTCTTCATCGTTTTTGCTTGCATCACATCTCCAACAAAAGTTGATCGCTCGCCACGATCGTAACAACCCAAGAGAGTAAACATGCCACTCCCAGTCGCCCCGAAGCTCCACTACGCTGAAATGCATGGTCTTGCCTTCGATCATGATGCCATTGTAGCACCGCTGCAAAGATCTCACTATGGCCGCAAAGAGAGGGTTGAGAGATTCAGGCCCCAAACACTCATCATTCTCTAATGAGAAAAGTAACCACCTGGACATTCTAGATGACTTCGGTGTCCAAAGGACCAGGTTGACAAAATACCCAATGATTTTCTGTCCCAGAGGTGAATATTTTGCTGCATCTCCATATAGTCCCAATGGTTGATGGTGGCCAGGTGACACATCTTTCCATGGACAATTAAATGTTCTTGCATGGTCCCAAAACTTCTCCACAGCTTCATCCTCGATGACCAGATTGAGGGGCCCCATCAAATATGTCAGAATAGTTTCTGGGAGGAATACCGGCACCTTGCGGGTTACTTTGGTCACATCGTCGCCTGAAAGCTTTGATTTCACAGGAGTTTCCACAAAAATTGGGTCCTGTCAGGGCCAGGGTTAAGCCACTCTATGACTATCCGAATCAGGTTCAAGTACATGTACATTAAACCTTAAAAAATTTGCCACCCAGTCCAAAGACTTGAACTGTAGAGCACGTCGAAAGTCGCGGGCACGATTGTGAACGCTGTAGCTGCCTAGCTTGCGTATCATCTCAGGTAACCCTTGAGGAGTGTCCTTAGATCTAGATCTATCTAGCTCTGTAAATCGCAGGGTTTCACACCTGCAAGGTTGGTTGACATGTGCCAAGTGGCTTTGACCCGTGCGTTGAGGTCAGACATCTTCTCCTCAATGGAGGCCTGGGACTGGGATATTTTTCTTGGTGGGGGTATGAGATCCACGTTCCGATTCCCGCAAAAACATCTCAGCATGCAATGCAATGACTAGGCAGCCAACCCCTGCAGCCACTGAATCAAGCACATGGTTGAGCTGGTGTTGTCGATCTTGATCATCAGCAACTTCACCTGCGCTGGTTGAGCATGAACGTACAAGGGCATTTCTGGAACATGCACATGTGAAGAACCAGGTGCATCAGCAAATCGCGAAGGTGCACCTCTTTGTTTTGCTCCGATGCATTTGAGCTAGTTTGTCATATGCCATATGCCCCTACTTCATGAACAACCCCCGCCTCTGCCACGTGTCAAGTGTCTATCGGAATATATATATATATTGTATATTGTTTCTGAGCTAGTTCAGACCTGAAGTACTGTCTGTTGACTGGCACGTGGTCTAGGAGGTGGCCAGGGAAGTCACGATCATGATCAGCTGTTTCGCCAAAACCACAAGGATGAACACATTTATTTAGATCCATGGCGACCACAAAACTGCTGATCTAGAAACTAATCGGATGTTTTCCGCTTTTTACCACTCAGTGGCTCCATGACTGTGTCTGCATGCTCGTTCAGGTTTTTGCTGCGCTGGGTGATCTTCTCCATCTCTGGTACCTGCCCACAACGTATATGATCTAGATCATCCTATATATTTTATATATTCAGTGCGATCTGAAGCAGCTTCAACCCAGAGTGAAAAGCCTTGTGGCCCAAGTCCTACAAGGATCACCAGTAGATCCAACAAACGATTTTGTACATGAATATACAGCTAATCCCCACTGACACATCACACAGTCGGTCACCTCAACGCCAGATTCCAATGCAGTCTGGAGTTCGGCTCGTCCAGACCCCAGCTTATTGAGCAGATCATCAATGTCCTTCTCAAGGGCTGCCCTCACATTCTTGGACCTGGTCATGGGATGAGTGAAGCAATTAAATTACACAGGCCAGCTCTGAAATCCCTGTATCGTGCTAGATCATGTGCATGACTGTTGGGGCCAACACCATTGGGAAGCTTTGTTCTTGATCTCATGAGCCTTTTTGATCTTTGAAGTCATCGCTGAAAGGACCTCCACAAGAGATTGGAATTTGAAGATCAGTTTCATCTAGATCCTAAATTTTATGATATAGACGTTGATCGATATAGTGCACATATACAACAATTATTAATGGGACCTGCCTTGTTTGCTTCTTTTCTTGCTTCTCTTTTGCTCTTCGTCTCTTCATCAGTTTTCTCATCCTCACCCTTCCTACCCTTCTTACCCTTCTTTTTCTTTTTCTTGTTTGCGCTGTTCTTTCCTTTCTTGTTCTTGGCACCCTTTTTCTTTTTTTTCTTTTTCTTTTCTGATGATTCAGACTCACTGCTCGAGCTGGAATCCGATTTGCTCCCAGCATCCTGCGTCCTAAACAAGTCCGTTACAAGGTCCTCTTCCTCCTGCACCTCTTCATCCTCGACCAAGATGAGATATTGCTTGAGGCCTGCAGCAGGAGACAGGGATCTGGATGGGGCTTGCATTATTATCTAAACACTATTTGGTACCTGGCAATTCTGGATGATCCCGGATTTCATCGGCAAGTTCGGGGAGGCTTGCCTTCCGGGTGATCACTGCATCTGCTGTTGTTTCATCCCCAAAGTGTGAGATCATTTGGGCCCTTGTGAGCCACTTCCGAACTCCCCGTGAAATGCCCTTGTGGCGCTTCACCACTTCTCGCCAAATCAAACCTTTGCGCCAGTGGCCACCAGTTTTCAAGAAGTCCTCATAGAGCGTTTGATTCTGGGTCTTGCCTCATGATCACCAGGTACTGAAACTTAATATTGATCAGATCTATACAACACATATATAAACAGTTGTATATTAAGCTCTATCTAGATCTAGATCTGATCACTTTCACTTGCACATGAAAGAAATCAGCACCGGG